ATCGCTGTAGTCGCTGATTTTACCATCTTTCGTTGCGCCGTATGCTGGACCCCTCTCTTTCTATCCATCGGCGCAATACACGGTATACCCGGAGGAAGTAGAACGTGCGCGAACGTTGGGTGGGCAGAGGTAATATTTCTGTATTGTCATTCTCGACACAGCGCCTGAGTTTCGCTCAGCCCCATGGCACCGTTCTTTGAATCTTTCAGTGGTACCTTGAAAAGCACGGTGCAGAACTAGACCCGGGCGCGACAAACGTATTTGAACCAGCTCCTCATAACTTAGTTTGATTTTCAACGCCCCGGGCGCCACGTCAAAGTCCCGGTGTGAACAACCGGCTGTGTTTTTCAAAGCGCTGCGCGGTACGTGTATCAAAAGCCTGTTGAGCTTTCGCATCCCCGCATGGTGTCCATCACGTGGAAGCAGAAGCGCATTCACAAGGAGAGCCACTGACGTTTGCTGGCCTCTCAGAAATCAACAATCGCGAAGCGACCAGGGGTACACCAGCAGTTGTTCAACCATGTCGGCGATGTAGTCTTCGGGAACTTCCTGTGTGTCTGAGCTAAATAATCAACGCGAGACAGGAGAACATGTCTTTTCGAGTTCTCTCAACCTTTCATCGACAGCCCGCGTCTTCAGGCAAGGCGGGAGGGTCCAACCTTTTGAATACTAAAGCACTCGTGCAAGCCCTGCATTGTTTCCCAGTAGTTTACGACGTGGTGGCACACGGAAAAAATAACCCCAGAGACAGAATACGTGACACCGAACCCGTACATCGCCCCAACAGACCATGCCTTCGCGAATGACAACGGCCATCTACCAGACCCCGGAAACTGCACCCATATGGCTTTAACAACGCCTGACTGCTGCAACCACGATAATGCGGAGCAGATAGGGTGCCATGGTAGCCACGGCTACCCTTCGGCACAGAGCAAGTGTCTCGCACGGTGAACACTCCGAGGCCACGGTCAGAAATGACACACGATGAAGCAAGCGCCTCCGGATATCTCTCAAAACAGAGTTCGATGAAACCACTGAGACCCCTACTCGTGGCGTCGATTTCCAAGCCGAAATATTACAATATTTCGAACATGAGCAAGCGTTCCGATTGTCGTTCTCGCATTCCTCGAACTCTCGAACAGGTTTGCCTTCGAGATGCATTCGAATACTGTTTGTATTCGGAGTGTTTGTTTTCTCCTGTGGTGTGCGTGCACCAGGACACCGTCTCAGCACGTAGGTACATGAGAGACTAATGTTCTTGGATTGTACGCGATGAAGGTGGGTACAACCCACATTTACCATCGTTCGGGTGGATAGTGTACAATGGTTCCCGTTCTTAAGGCACATATGTTAAGTCAACTTCCAGGAAAGACAAAAAAAATCTCAGAAGCAGAGTACCCCACAGATATACAAAACAGGGTGGGGGGTATGGCGTTCGGCATTCGGGACCCCCACAAATGATGGTGCGGGTAGCCTTTCGAACTGCACGGCACAAAAGACAAGGTGAGCGATCTGCTGCTGCTGCCACTACTGCGTGTGGGTGTGGATAAATTCGGACGACGTAGCTTACGTGCAATTGTTGCTTGTGTGTTTGTCTTTGGTCCACTTTCGTGAAACTATGCTTAGCGTGGTCGTTGTATTTTGTGCTACCTGATTTCCACCTCTGGGCAGCACCGACGGGCTCCATTATCTGTTATTCTGAACTTTTTGTCTAGCGTTGTGGGTGCTCCGACACCTCAAGTTTCGTTTCAGGTATAGTTTTGCTCCTTCCCTGGTTAGGAGGTAGCCTGTGGCGCAGAAGATGTAAATCGTTATCAGAGGTAGTAGCACCGATGGTTGGCTGTCTTTCTGTCTTTTTGGGGGCGGGGGTAACGATATGCATCTCGGCAAGGTATTGAACGCCTGAACGAGGCCAAAGCAATAGAGAAACTAAGCCAACAAAATAACAACAGAAACAACTTTTGTTGCAATTGAGTGCCTCGTCCAGCAGCACTATACCCACTGTACGAAGGAAAATAACCTAGTTTTTGGCGAAGATGGACTAAACTGTCGTTTGTTGAAACCGTAATAGTTGAAAGCATCATTGTTGGAAAACTGGGACTGGTACATACATACGTACATAGACTAGATTTCGCGTCCCCTCCAAACATGTCTGGACACCAGAGGAGAGCACACGTCCCCCGGTGTCGTGGGTCGTAGCGTTGGTGAGCGCGAGAGAGGACCATCGGAGTACGTGGGCACGCCGAAGGATTGAGGCACTGGCCAACAAAGAACAGGTGCCCACAGAAAGCTGTGTCTACTCCCGCCCACCCATCCCTTTTCTTTGGAAGGTGGGGCAACGGAAAAGGGCGCGAAGGCCTTCATTTCCTTTTTTGGTGATGTTTCTCGAGTTTTCTTATGGATGTAGTTGAATGGTCGAGTACCACTGGGAGACTTGGTCACCTCAGACCCCCGCGCGCAGGAGCAGTGGCCGGATTTCCCCCCGGCTGAATATAGCTGACTTGCGTGCGGAGAGAGAGAAATAGATAGTTCTGGAGGGGGGAACAGACGCGAGGATTGTGTGTGTTTTCAGCGCCGGTTCCTACCCCTTCTCTCTCTCAATCCTTGGTGATCAATAAACCGATTAGAATCAAGCACCTCGAAACAAAACAACAAGTTGGGGGATGGAACGCAAAAATGTAAAGGTTCCAAGGCGTACGACGTGGTATGTACCAACGTGCGACTTTCAACCACCACGTTGAGATCGTCAGGTTTATTATGCATTTTTCGTTTCGTGCTACTATCCCTGCTGCAATGACGCGTCTTTGACGTATGGTACGCCTCCGTTGATCCCGGGGATGGTGAGATATTATAGGCCTCTTGCGGTTGCCCAACGGTCGAAAACGAATCACAAATGAGGCGACACTTCTGCTGGCATAAACCTGCCTGGTGCCGCTGTAGGCGGAGATTCATGCATGAGCGCTGAGTGAGGTCAACCACGACGAAACGGCGACTGTAAATCATTTCTGAGACACGTCAAACCACGCCATGACCACATTCCGTGGCAGGTAAGTTCCAATCCGCGGCAACGCATTCCACCATGGAAACCAGAGTGGTAGTCACTTTAAGGGCTTTCTTGGTCGCCTGTGCCCAAATCTGTTTCCCGGGAGGGTTTCAATGGGGGCATCTGACGGCCAGAGCCCGCATCCCATTATATAGGACAAGTTCTCCACTCATGAAATCAAATGAAGCTGTCAATTTCTATTGCCCTGTTCATGCCGGAGTTACTCGGCCGACGTTCGACATTCGAGTGCACTTTCTGAAACCAATACACCGACGGACCTACGTTGTCCATCTGAACCCTATTCAAGTAGTAAACGATAGTCAGTCGGAGATGAAACAACTATCCACCCTGCCCCCCCCCAGTCGTTCAACCCGTTGTGTTTCCGGGTCACAAAGAATGACGCTCTTTCGTTACAATGACAAATTTCGGAAAGTAGTGCGCAGTACATGTACTGTAGCTGCCACATTTTTGAGATCAGTGTACTGAACAAGTCACCGCCTGAGGGCGCGTTCGTCATGCTTCATGCAAGGTATGATAGAATGCCTTGACGGTTGCATGTCACAGATTGCACATTCGAGGGACGGTTAGAGCCCGGCGTGTGCTGGAACGAGGTGAGCGAGCATCGACGAGCCAGAGATGCAGGCACGTCGCCGACTTCTTCCCCCACAAGGAAATACAGCAAGGGGGCTTGAGAAAGCGCCAAGGCGTGGGAGCGGTTGCGAAAACAACTTCGTCTTGATTCTGGTGCACAACCCCCGTGAACATTACCCTTTCTGGTGCGGACTCACATCCCGGATGCGGAAAAATCAATCACACTCGGTGCTCATGTTTCGGCGCATCCCCCGTGCGAACTCTCGAAGCAAGGTGCGGTAGCGATCTCACCACTACTGGCTACTCCGATCTTCAGTACAAACGAGGTCGCCCAAGTCTGGAATACCTTCGAATTGCTTTCTAGAGACACCCCCAGACACACGTCATTGATGTTTCATGCAATCCTCGAGTGAACTAAGCATCGTTTGGGGGGTGACCAGTCAACTGTGTTGTGCCACAGCAGATGGTCGTGCAGCACGTACCTACAAGATGCTACGTACCAAGGATGCGACGACTTCACAGTCACAGTGGAGAAAAGCCCCAGCCCAACATGGGAACGTCATGCCATGTGAAAACATTTGTATGTGGACAATTCGACACATGCCAAGAGGGTTCACGTTCCCTGACGGCGAGCTGAACTTGGGTGGGGGGGGGGGGGGGTCTCATAGTCGTGCATGCCGTAGTCGTTAGACCATTGACCTCGCATCCCTACAAAGCCGGGACGGAGCACGCCGGGTTCTCACCGGACCAGGCTAGGGTGGGGGAGTCAAAATTATGGTTTCTGATGGTGCTTACGCGATGAAGTCATTGAGACGGAGATCTGGCTGTGTCGATGATCATTTCAGACAGACTTTAACGTAGTACGTGTTTGGAAAGTGGGGGCGATGGAAGACCAAGAAAAACTCGGCACATCGTCGTTTGCTTCTCTAGTGATTTTGTTTTCGAGAGCAGCTCCGACAGCTGCTTGACATAAAAAAAACGACCGATCAGACACATGCCATGGTCAACTGCTCTGACAGCGCCTTTGCGTCTTGACGATTTCGTGGGTGACAAGTCATCTCATGCATTCAGGTCGGCAGGCACGAGCCAGACACCTCCAGTCAACGGCTCACTGGGATGCATTCTCCAGTAGCGCCACGTCTTGAATCCCTCCCAAGCATCCAAACACCAAACCAACTCTGCTCGGGCGGGTAAATGTTCGCGCGACGTCCGTGTTCTGATCAGGTACACTGTTGTTCTTTGCTCACCAGGCCCTACACGACATGCCGCGTTGTGTGGCAGAGTATTCATGCTGAAGCCTGCTTGGCGTAGTCACCGTCTTTTCCATCCCAGAGGTGATACTGTGCCCGCAAATTTGTGTGGCTAACGGCCCCTCATCACAGATGCCCATATAAAAGCAAGAACATGCGATGAATCCACGTTTGCTCTGACCGGAATGCCCGCTGGACAATAGAGGGTGGGTATGAAGAGGTTTGGGGCGTCCAAACAACGGAGGTACCGGAGTACCTGTGCCGATACCTTCCAAAACGAATTCAACAATCCGACTACACCTTGCCCTACTCGCGTTTCTGACTATTCAAACAGATGTACATCAGTACTTGGGGGTGAATCAGGAGTGCGGCGTAACGCAGCACCTTCCAACACACACCCATGCCTTCTCTTGTCAAGGATTCACCTACTATGCCAAATACCGAGTGTGCGGAATGCTTCGCTTGGGATATGAATAGGCAAGACAGGGAGGACCAGAACAGGACAAAGCATGTCAGGAAAATCAAACCATGAACAATGCACACAAACAAAACAACGGAGCACGCAAACAACACGAGCGGAATTGGAGAGGAATACCAAAGTTGATGACAATGCCTCGGTGTGATTGCACCCGAAACGTTGAGCTCGACACTTGTGCCGAACCGTACAACACACGCTTGAGATTTAGGCTGTACAACAGCAGTGCACAGAGACATGTGTTCACGCCGTGCATTGCACAACGACGGTGAATATTCATGCGCCTCGACAGCGGCAGTAGAGGAGTCGTTACAAGACTTTTGGACGCAATCACCCACAACAGGCCAGGCGATCGACGCACCTCGGAGGTCGTTTGTACCAATCTCCGAGGGGAGCAAACGTCCCCCAGCCCCGCCTGTTTCTCCAACCCCCCTTAGCCGCCGCCCACAACCGCCCCTTCTTCTCCGGTGGCCCGTTCGTTTGGAAGTAAAGCGCCATTAGTGCGCCCATATCCGTGCTGGTGCTTCCCACCGGTGGTGCCGGGATCGGAGCAACCACCGCTGGCGCAGGGCCTTTTCCCGACGGTAACGGGGTCCGGACGACCTCTTCAACCACCCCTTTGCATGCCGTCGCCTGTGTCGGTACGAGATCTCTCTCCGACGTCGACAGGATTTCAATAACGCCGTCTTTGCTTGTGCAGGCCGTCACATCCGCACCTACCTCCGTCGCCAACTCGAAAAGACTCTGCATCGTCTTTTCCTCAAGCATCGCCTTGACAGCGGCGCCCCCCACATCAGGGTACAAGCGGCGAAGCTCGGGCTCAGATGCACAAAGGGCACCAAAGGCTGGGAGGAGGCGGCTGTCTAGCTCAGGGAGGACCGGCACGTTCTCGGGCGGGAGCACACACACGCACGACACGACGTTCAGCAGGAACGACAAAACCTTCCTCTCTTCCACCGTGCCAGAACGCGAAGGGTCAGCCCAGATCGTAGCAAAGTGTTTGACGACGTTCGCCAGTGACCCTTTGACCGTGGCCTGCTTGGCCTCACTCGGAGAACCAGCCTGACAGCGGGCAGCGGGTGGGGATGGGAATTCATGTACTGCCAACACTTTCGTCGCGCTATTTTGTCTTTCGGCAACACCTCGCGCGTCTTGGTCGAGACAGAGCGCGTTCCCTGGTCCCTAAACGCCGATCGTGCACGTTCACAAACGAAATGCACCCTTGGGCTCCCGGGTCCGTCACATGGTGCCAACAACAACAGATGCTATGTCGTCTCTGCTAGGCCCTCCCTAACAATGGTAGCAGGTACCAGGCACCAAACATGGTTGCGCTGGATAGTTCGATCACCCGGCCATGCCCGTGCTGAACCTTATGTTTTTGGCCTAACCACTCGCACGAAATATCGGTGAAGCACGCACCAGGTTGAGTCCAAACGTGCTGGCTGTGAATCAGACTTACCTTCATCTTATGGACGTAGCCGGCTGAGATGGTTATGGTCGCAGCGGTGAACTTGATTTCCAGCGTGCTTCCAGTCACCAAGGCCGTCCTTGCCTTCCTGCTGGCTTCTTTCAGCTCATCCACGTCATCGCCACTCGCTTCAAATTCCTTCAGGGACATATGCGCTTCCTCCAGCGGGCCATTCTGCACAGCACGCGGGGGCGCACGCCGAAAAACATTAGAGGGACAAGTCACGGCATGGGTTGACTGCCGCATTACACGCTCATGGAGATCCTTCCGGTAGAAACGCCTTCCATGGTGGCAAGAGGAAGCCATATTAGAAACACGAAACGCCAGAAACGGGCACTCAACGAGTAAATGTCTCGCCAAACCTCTGCACGTACCAGGCGTGAACACGAAACTCGACCGGAAGACATATACGTACTATAATAGGCGGCGTGCAGGTTAACAACGGTAACTACAAGCTTCAAAGCGAAACGGCCGGTGCAAACGACCGGTGTGACGGCATATTTTTCACCCCAAGTACACACACTTGAAACAGAGCAGTCGAGGCAGCGGCCTTCGATTAGATGTTGGGAACACGACGGTTATCGCTGCAAGAAAAAAAAGGGGGACACAACCAGCGTAAGATGTTGTCAAGCGTAATGTGATTCGTCCACTACTCATTGTTGTTTCCAACTTGAGAGTCTGAATCAATCTTCATCCGGTGTAAGGTGGGACAATGACAAATAGTAGCGACTGTACCTTTTCTCCTCTGTGCCCCCGGCCAACATGTACCCACACCAATAGGTGTGCATGTCGACAGCGCCAGCCTACAGGGGACAAACTTACTCACCCGACACCAAGGTACATGATGACCCCGACGACAAGCGGACTGACGGCATTCAAATCGAGCTGTTCAGAGTACGACAGTAGGAGGGATTGCCACGAAGAAAGGCTGGGCGCGACCGAAACACTACTCACCCTCAAGACGTCCACACCGTGTTGCGTGGCTTCGATGCTGCTCATGAAGGTGGTGAAGAATAGCATATTCTCAGCTCGGCATTGCTCCACGCTTGCACGCACGCTTTCCAGATCACGTCGAACCTATCGGCGTCGCGATTAACGCGCCGGCAGAGAAAGGAGTGGCGTTGTCGGAGAAAGGTCACTTCTCCAGTGCATGTTGGCGTAGGGGAGATACCACTTCCGTGCACCTGCTCATTGTGCGCCCCACTTGTATTCATGCTGCTCAGTGATCTGTCTGTGATTTTCACTATTGCAACGACCGCGCTAACCAGCTAACAAATGAGAAGACGTCAATCTCAGTGCGTGCGTGTGTGTGTTCCTTCAGGTGGTCCCAGCAACACGAATTGAAACGCGTTCTTGTCCTCTCGCGCGACCAAAAGGCCAGACCTGCAGCGGTAGACGATGGGCGATGAAACCGACCTCGACAAACGCGGGTGGTATGTAACCACCAAAGCTCTGCAACAAACTTGTTGGAAGGTGTGAGCGAGGTGGCTCAGCTTTACTTCGCAAAGAATAACTCCTCGCGGTATCCAGGGTTTGAATGAACCTACAGCTGCCCCTCGAGAAGCGCACAGCGATACTTGTGAATATGACGAAATGCTGGTAAGGCGTCGAAGTGCACGTGTCGAAGCTTTGAAAAAGCAGATGGTAGAAGCCTTGTAACGGTATCACACACACGCGCATGCATGTGTTTCTATGCGTGGTTCTTGGTGCGGTATAACACTTGCTCCCTGCTCGTTCATGTTGATCCTTGGTTGGCGGCGGTTGTGGGGTCGCGGATTCGTATTTTGTGTCCTCTCCGGGGAAAACCCCAAGTTGAACAACGGGAGAAGCGCGCGCGGCAACACCGGCTAGGGCGAGGGGTGGCGGAGGGATCGACAAACCTATGAAAATCATCCTTACCCCAAACTTCGAACAAATCAGCTACCGTTAGTCGTCGCATGAGGTGCTCTACGCCCTTGAGCGAGTGCTTAAGGCCGTGAACAAGCTGGTTACAATAGCACAGCGTGCGTTTTCGACAAGCTTGAACTATCGTCGTGCCAGTTCCAACGCCACCATGTTCGGCACTGTCACCGCTTGCGCTGCAGAATAGTCGAGCTTTGAAAATAGGTGCAGAGGTTATGGCGGGATACGCGACCTAACGTAGGTGATGACTCCAGTGCTGAGGTGGGCTCACAGCCTACGGCCCATGAATGGGTCGCTCTTTTCCACGCGGATCCAACATTGTCACAGTTGAAGATTCGTGTCATCTCAAATCGCCCCAACTCGTATCAACTTCGGGCCGGGGGCATAGAAATCCGTCACCTCCCCACGTTCTTCTAGAGGCCCACCAGTAGCTCGCTTGGAACACGAGCCCTGTCCGCAGCGAGAGGGCGGGCACACTTGCCGTGCTTCCTTCGGAAATAAAGCAAGGCCGCACGTATGTTGGAATGTAACTGCTGTAAAGAGTCATGGAGTGGATTCATCCATGTGAGTTCAGGTCGTTCTTTTTCTTGCAACGCCCACCATGTTCAAACCACTCCGGACGGGTCTTGTCTGCATACAACGAAACAACTTCATTGCCAGTCGCTACAATATCTCGGACTCGTTCGGAGTGAAAGAGATTACTTCGTTGCGTTATGTTACGTATTCGTTGCTAGTACATATCAGCCTAGACTCCACAATCAAAACCAACAACGAACCGGACCATCGAGCTGAAGCTGCGTGCCCAGTGCCACACCGTTGACACGACGCAAGATGACACTCCCACGCAACAAAAGACACCCCCTACAGCATACAACAACACCGGGTGCTAAAATATTGAGGATTTCAAACGGGAAGCCGAAACACCACCCGGGATACGGACGATACCACACCCCGTGAGGTACAGAGCGGGTGTATCACGGAACCCGTGCTACAACCACCCCGGTGACGACTCAACAGAGGTTCCAGATGATATCCAAGATGGTCCAGCAGGGAACATGCACAACACCTGAGTGCGGGAAACCACCCCGTGGGCGGTCTTTCAGTGCAAACCAGCCAAACATGTTTCTCCCCCACCTATTCGCATACCTTATTTGTACCAGGCAGTAGCGATGGATAAGCCTCTTCTCAAAACATGGCAATACTCTCTTGGCTGTTCGGCAAAGCGCTGTAGACGTTCATGCCGAGGCAATGCAGAAGACCTACCCCCGCACTTAAGCACGACTGCAAGAACGCTCGCTAGGAACTTCACTGCTGCTGTAGTCAGTGGTGTCAGTGGTGTCACCCCTACTCAGTACCATACACTGTGACCCAGCGGCGCCATAGTATTTTTCAAGCAGGGGTATCATCCCCCCCTCAATGCCAAGCCCCCGTGCGTGTGGCCGCATGCACGGTAGGAAATTCTTTGCAGGCGGTGCTACCACCCCACCTGGTTCCCACACAACTTAAGCACCTACAAGTGTGCGGTAAGTGGTATCACACCCCTCGGGTGGATCCCGCGACCTGCACTTTGTCACCAAGGCTACACAAGATAGCACAAACAACCCAAACAACACCCGGTCAACTCGGTGCTACCAGGTACGGAGTAGTGTTTTGTTCTGAAGAAAACAAAATGTTGTCCCCGGGTGTGGTATTTTGCGTCATCTACGGCGAACGTGTTGTCAACTCTCGGCACCTCTGCTTCTGGGTCCTATGGCGCCGTGGTGTCCATCAGCCGCCACACAAGACGTTGCATACACGCAGCTCGCGGGGAATAGCTTTTAGTGCTACATTCTGTTCGAAGAAACTCAAGAAAAATCTGCTGGAGAATGTAGCAAAATGATTTGTAATTTTTTTCAGCAACTTTTGCTCGGGAACTTTGTCACTGAACACTTTTGGTGCACGCTCAATATGGGACGAATAAAGTTTTGTGCACGGGACTGGCGAAATGCGGACACGTGATCTTTTTGTTAAGCAACGGCGAGAAGAAGGCACACTCACGCCTTTCATATCGCACCGCGAAGAAAACGGTCAGAGCGTGCGGGAGAGGGTAGATGCAGGCTTTTTTCTCCACACTCACGATACCCGAAGGCATCTAACCTGGTACCAGAAAGATGCTGGGTAGAGCTAGCTCCCTCGGGGTGGCATTGCTGTTGCTGTTGCCTCCTCCGTCAAAAAGTTATCGCTGGAAAACCAAACCATGAGCACAAAATCCCTGCGAACTTCAACCAACCGCTCTCTGACGTTGGTATTTTAGAGTGATCAAAACTTTTTTCCCGACGCGCACGATACCCCACGCTCTTGGGCATGAAAGATCGAGCAGAAAGCTGCCTCCCACCGAGTGGCCTCGCTAATGCTGTCGCTCCCTCCTTCGGAAAGTTTTTGGGCAACCAACCTCGTAGCGGTCAAAAAAGAAAAACTTTTCAACTAACCGCTCGCTACCGTTGACGGTCGGGCACAGCACAAACTTTTTCTCCCGACGAATTCGGCACCTGACGGCCCAAACCTTGGCATTGCCCAACAGCCCATGGCATCACCTGCTTCCAGATATCATTCATGACTCTGTAAGGATTCGTCGAGATATGGGTGATCACACCCTTCCCACAATCGAAGCTGGAGAGGGTCCACGTGTGCGGTAGGTGTAGCAGTTTGACCTAGATTGGCGGAAATGGCGCCGTGCAACTTTTGTTCGACTCCCTTCCTGCGAAGAAGTTGCAAAACTTTTCGGCCAGATCAGGGCGCGCAAAACAAAAAAAAAATCGAACACCTAACCACCCCCCTACCCGCCCCAGGTGCCAGATTTTTTGCTTTTTCGTGGTACATATTTGTATAGGCTTTCTTTACTTTCCCCCTCTCTGCTGCGTGTGTCGGCGTGTGCTGACGTAGTTTGATCAGCTTGTGAAAATTACCGGTATGTACATCCGGCGCCTCCGGCACTGGAAAAGCAAATTCCTCCCATCCTTAATTTACTAGCTGTGATGGGCTGGGGGCACTCCTAGGTGGTATTGTCTTGGAGTCTTGGAAGTAAGTACAGAGCTAAANGTTTGATAAGCTTGTGAAAATTACCGGTATGTACATCCGGCGCCTCCGGCACTGGAAAAGCAAATTCCTCCCATCCTTAATTTACTACCTGTGATGGGCTGGGGGCACTCCTAGGTGGTGTTGTCTTGGAGTCTTGAAGTAAGTACAGAGCTAGGGACAAACCCCCACACGACAACCTCTCAGAACTTCTCAACGCTTCTGCGACAAGCCCACTATATTTATTTTGACCTCGGGCGAATATGGCGAAATAACAGAAACAAACGACACACCAGAACCAAATGAGGCATACCCATGTGTCGAAGCGTCATCAATCCAAGCTTACGCAAGCCGGCCACATCATACCGGAGAGGGGCCGTCGATGAGCCTCCGGCGGTGGCATCACCTTCGTCACGTGCAACGCCCGTCCACAATAAATAGCAATGCGTTGTACTTACTATTCACCCCCGAAGCCCCTCCACGTCCCTCAACAAGAAGACAAAAACATTTCTTTTCTTCTTTTGCCTTCCGACAATTGCAGATGTACATCAGAAAACTTTCACTTAATGACTCATACTCTACATGAATATTAAACCAATACGAAGTACAACATATGTAGGACATATGTCTACTGCTGTCACTTATATCNACAATTGCACATGTACATCAGAAAACTTTCACTTAATGACTCATACTCTACATGAATATTAAACCAATACGAAGTACAACATATGTAGAACATGTGTCTACTGTCACTTACATCGTAAAAATATTTCCTCTTCAATTTGAACTACAACCAATGACAATCCTCATGATATCCTACATGCGTTCGTAAGCTTGCTAAAAAACTACTGCGTTGATGTCCTTTTGTAAAAGCTGAAATCCAACAAATGCTTTAGTTTCTTCGAGCGCTTTCGCGTCAAGCGCCTTCTTCGCCATCCATCCTCCTCCTCCCCCCTCCCCCCANCTACTGCGTTGATGTCCTCTTGTAAAAGCTGAAATCCAACAAATGCTTTAGTTTCTTCGAGCGCTTTCGCGTCAAGCGCCTTCTTCGCCATCCATCCTCCTCCTCCCCCCTCCCCCCACCCCCGTGGACGGCTGGCTGCGGGCTAGTACACTCC